GTTTCACCCATACTGTTTCACCCATACTGTTTCACCCATACTGTTTCTCGCAATCTGTTTCACCCATACTGTTTCTCGCAATCTGTTCCGGCCCCTCTGTTTCTCGGACTCTGTTTCAGCTCCTCTCTCCCGCGCTCTGTCTCTCCCGCGCTCTTTCTCGCACGCTCTTTCTCGCACCTCACAAACTGAATGCTGAATAAATGCCATGGCCACAAGAGCAGGTGAGAGACTGGGAATTCTTCAGTAAGGAACTCACCACACCACCCTCCCACGCCCCCATTCACTAAAGTATTCTTGATCATTTATAATGCATAAATCAGGAATGTGCTGGTGGTATAGTTTCTTCTTTTCTGGATTGATGCAGCTCCAAAAAATACTCCCGGCACAACACTCAGATAGTAAGAAGTGTTGATGCTGGCGTCAGAGACAACACAGTGTGGAGCTGGACGAACACAGCAGGCCAGGCAGCATCAGAGGAGCAGGAAAGTTGATGTTTCAGGTTGAGACACAACGCATTCCAGGACAAAAACAAAGTTGCTTGAGAAGCTCAGTAGGTCTGGCAACATCTGTGAAGGGAAAAACAGTGTTAACGTTTCAGGTCCGGTGACCCTTCCTCAGTTCTGCTGAGCTTCTCCAGCAACTTTGTTTCTGTTCCTGATTTACAGGATCCACAGTTCTTTTGCTTTTTACATTCCAGGACAAAGTAGCCTGCTGAATTGGTCCCACAATCACCACAGTGACAGCAACATGTACCTTTTACAGAACGCGCTGCAGCAACTCAGCAAGGCTCCTTCGACAACTCCCCTTCAAATCTGTGACCCACCCAGAAGGACAAGGGCTGCAGGATCAACTCCAAATCTTCGGTATTCTTACTGAGAGCGATATTACTGCTGGGCCAATATTCTGGAATTCCCTTGCTAACAAAACTGTGGATGTCCACACTCCACATGGAGTGCAGTGGTTCAAGAAGGTGCAAGGGAAATTAGCAACAGGACATAAATGTCAGCCTAGCCAGTGACACCTACATCCTGTGAAGCAGTAAAAGAAATGGCTTGGCCCTTTAACATGTAACATTTCAGTTTAATCTATTTTATGATAGAAGCTTGTGATTTGCAAAGGGCTTATTTTACTATTCACTTGCAGTCCTTACCCCAGTCGTGTCTGAAACTAGGTCGCTTCCGTGATCTTCTCAGAGGTGTCCAATGGAGGATAGCAGACAGCTTTTCAGGTGGGAGGGTTAAGGCTGTGAACAGGCAACAGCCCCATTGGGGGAGATGGATGCAGCCAATGTAAGAAGAAGACAGCATAGGTAGTTTAAAATGGAGGAGCTCTGTGAAGAATTTTAAAAACCATTAAATATAGCTGCAAGGCTGTGGATGAGGATTTGATGATGAGAGAAAGTTTACTTCTGCCATAGAATAATCATTTGTAACTTGGATAAGCGCTGTTTTCGTACTATGGCATGGGGTAGAAAGCTGATTTGAGGGATTAAAGCATGGAGTTCCAGAAAGATAGCCACAGATTTGGGAGGTGACAATGCATTCCAAAATAATAAAAATAAAGAATTATAGATGCTGGAAAACCAAAACAAAAGCCGGAAGTGCTGGTAAAACCCGGCAGCATTGTAGCAACCAAAACAGTTAATGTTTTGAGCCCAATGAACCTCCTTCAGAACATACTGCCAGACTTGGAGAGGGAAGGGAAGTTGAAAATAGGACTGTAGTTTGCAAAGGTAGAGTACCAATGCTATTTTTAATTGGAGGATATGGCAGATTTGAACAAGAGTCTTCATGTAATGCTTTTACATGTTTGAACATTCCAACTGGTTTCAGAAGAGTATTCTTGAACAAAAATTGACACAATTACATAAGGAGATGTTTAGACAGATGATAAAAAGCTACCAAAGAGGTAGATTCCAAGGAAAGTCTTAGTGAAATGGAGGAGAATTGCAGACCATAAAGTCCAGCCAGCTAAAGGCAGGACTGCCAATGGTGGAATGTTTGAAATCAGGGATGTGCAAAAGGTGAACTTTAGAGAAGGCTGAGATCTTACTGCATTTTCTGTTTCTAATTCACATTTACAATACATCCATTGTCATTCTTGTGGTTTAGGGCAGTTTAATTGCAAGCAGCACAAAAAATTATTTTTTTAATTACTCTGCATCACATTTTGTGATAAGTCATTCTTCAGTAAGTTTGCAAAGCAATAATCACCTGACATCCAGCGAAGTAATACAGAAAACACCTGTATTTGCAAGACAAAGTGTGATCTTTGCACTTGTGGGTGGTTCACACAACAGTCCGTCTGAAATGCTGCTGCTATTTGTTTAAAAATTGGGCTTATGTAAAACTTGGGAATAGATAACACACCCACTTGACTGCAGACTATATTCGTTCAGAGACTGTCTTGAAACAAAGTTGACAACTTGGTAAGTTGAGTGTGCTTTTAAGTTGTGTAATTGAGAAATATGCTTCTATTACTGAGAGTTTGCAGGAACTACTGGAAATTAAAATGGTTAATAATTGCAGAAAAAGGATCCACAGAATAGTTCGGTCTATACCGTTTTTGTGTAGCTTTAATGTTTTCTAAAATATAATTCAACAAGATCTTTCATGACCTGCCAAAACAGTTTATAGCAATCAAATACTTTTCTATAAGGGGTTATTATTGAAGTAACACAACAGCCAATCTGTACTCATCAAGCTCCCAAAAACAGCAATATGATAAAGTTCAAATAATCATTATTTGTGACACTGGTTGAGGGATAAATAGTGATGAATTTTTTCCACCTTTCTTCAAATAGTACCATGGCGTTTTTTTATAATCACCTGAGAGACCAGGAAAGGTGTAAAACTTCCCTTTGTATTGCACAGCCAGTATTTTGTGTTTTTGGCTTTGAACTTGGGATTAAACTGATAGATTTTCAATATAAAGGCAAGAGTGCACTCACAGAGAGTTTTGACAAATGATTGATACAGATTCAGAAACTAAGGTGAATGCTATAACTTAAATCACAAGCTGGGAAGCGCATCGATTTTTCAAATGCACTGACTTCAATACGGAGTGAAATATGTTTGGGACTAAAAACATGTTTGTGCCCAAGTCCTCTCAATCTCCCAACAGGAAGGTTAAGTTACAATTGTAACCAAAGAAATCACTTGAACTCAACAGTTAATTTCTGTATTGTGACATAACCTAAAAGTTATACAGGATCGTGGTTGGGTAATACAATTCAGACAAATGGTGAGCAAGTCATGGAGCAAGGATGAGGATAAATTATCAGGAGATGGGGTTTCTAAAAGTTGTAATGGGGGATGAAGTAAAAGGGGTTTAATGAGGGACTTGGAGAAACCAGTGTCATCTAATGTAGAGTGAAAAGAGGTGCCACAAAAATGACTAAAAGTCATGGGAGTCAATACAAAGTTGGAGGAGTTTGGAGTAATAAGGCATAGAGAAATTATAAGACAAAGGAGAATGATCTTAAATGTAATTCTTTGAATGATACCAGGATTGAAGGATTTTTGATACAAAGAAAGATTAGAGAAATTATTCTCCTTGGAGTAGAAAAGATTAAGGTCACATCTTATTGAGGTGTTCAAAATTATGGACAATCTGACAGTGAAATGAAGATATTCTGTTTTCATTTGTTGGCATGTCAGTAATTAGGGATCACAATTTCGAGATTGTCAGCAAAGGAGCCAGGAATGAAAAGAAACTGCTTTATTCGAGTTATTAGGATTTTGAATGCACTGTCTGGGAGAATGGTGGAGGCCAAGTTCCATAGGAGATTTTAAAAGAGAACTGGATATATATATTTGAAAGTGATAAGTTTAAAGGGCTATGGAGATAGGGCTGGAGAATACAAGTAGTTGTCTGGGAGCCAATTCAGACACAATGGGTCAAATGGCCTCCTGTACTGTAAAATTCTATGAATCAAACAAGAAGCCAATGTATTTTAGCACAGACTGTGCAATGTTCCATTCCCAATGTTTGCCAAGGTTTTAGATCAAAGGGATAGCTAATCTTAGAGGTGTGGACCAAGGGAAGTTGGGTGATTCACCTCTCAACAGGCAAGTGTAAACATTTTAGTAGATGTTTTGCGGCATCACTAATGGTAAGTTTACCATGACTGATAGGTTAAACCAGGCAGAAGCTCTTGCATTATCATGCTACTAATGTAGACGAAGTCTATTTCCAAATGGTTGTAGACTGAAGTAAGAAAAAGACGCAAAATGCCTGACTTTTTTTTTCTTACTCTGCTTAGATATTTTTATGCATGATGACAGCATTACATATTGATACTATTTTTATTCATGCATGTGTTATGATCCCAATTGGTGTTTTACTGAAAAAGTCAAAAGATAGAATAAGTGAATCTATTTACAGAAAACACAAACTTGAAGATTTTGAAATGCATGGTAAAATGTATAATCCCATTAATCCCAAACAACTCCTTGATAGATCCCAAAAATATCCTTTTTATGGTAACCAAATGAATCCCTTGGACAGTACTAACACAAGAGAAAATCTCAGCCATGATTCTGTATAGCTTTTGGATCATCTTCAAATAACCTCATCAAAGTTTTATCCAAATACTTCTGGTCTTAGTCTATAGCTATCATTCTTGTTCTTTAGTAATCTATTTTTACTGTCTTCTCCCTCTCTCCAGAGCACAGCTTTTCACATCCAGCTTCATCCACCTGCCCCAAATGAAGCTAAAAAGAAACATTTTATTTCAAGCTATGAGTGTTTCCACTAAACTTAAAAATGAAACCAAGTGCAGAAGTTTCTGAGGGAAACTTTGATGCACAATTGTTAACTTTGCTTGGCTGTAAACACTCCTAACATAAACAAAGTCCATTAGTCTTAGAGACTACTTCATCAGGTTGTTTTAAGAGTATTAACCAAAGTTACAGAAATACTTGCAACTCAATCATTATACCCTTCAGAGACACAGTTCCATATGTCACTAACTCAAAATTTAAAAATAAATAATATTAAAATATATTTAAATCACGCACCCTACAACAGAGTTGGGACATGGTCATCAATAGATAGACCAGAATTTATTGCTGTTTGTGAATTGTGTCAGACAGGTTGGTGACCCTCATATTGAACCACTCCTGTTGTTGAAGTATAGAGACACCCACTGTTAGGAAGGAGCATAGATACTATTCCAAGTGATTTGGAGGGAAAATTAAAGATGTTGATACTCTCATGCATCTGCTGTCCTTGTCCTTCTAGGAGGTAGAGGCTATGGAGCTGCTGTCAAAGGAGCCTTGGTAAGTTAGTGCAGTGCTTCTTGTACTCCGTACTTACTGCTGCCATTTTAGTGATGAAGGAAATGACTGTTAGAGATGGTGGATGGATTCTCAATCAAGTAGGCTGTCTGTTTTAGATGGTGTCAAACTCCTTGAGTGTCGTTGGAGCTGCTTAAATCCAGGCAAACGGAGAGTATTCCAACACATTCCTGACTTGTGCCTTGTACATGGTAGAGTAGAGTTGAGTCACAAGAGATGAGTTTTTAGCCTCTGACTCACTATTAACCATAGGATTTATGTGACTGCTCTAGTTCAGTATCTGGTCAATGGTGAACCCCAAGATGTTGAAAGTGTGGGAACTGGGATTGTGATGAGGAAAAATTTCTTTCTCCGAGAGGTTTGTGAAACTTTGCCTTCTGATGCAAAGAGTTCCAATGGACACAGAGTAATTAAATATTTTTAAGACAGAGGTTCTTCTGAGGCAAGGGAATTAAGGGTTACTGGGAGTAGATGAGAATGTGGAATTCAAAATGCAAACTGACAAGCTATGCTCTTATTGAATCATGGAGCAAGCTGATCGGGCTGAATGGTCTACTTATGCTCCTAATTCATATGTTCATTTGATTCCTCAATGGTGATGCCATTGATAGTTGAGTGGCCATTGTTAATCTTTCCCTTGTTAGAGATGATCTTTGCCTGTCACTTGCATGGCGTGAATCTTATTTGCTAGCCATCAACCCAAGCGTGGATATTATCCAAATTTTATTGCCTGTGAACAAGGACTGCTTCACTCTCTGAGGAACTGTGAATGGTGCTAAGCATTGTGCAGTTAATAAACATCCTCAATCTGACCTTATGATGGAGGGACGGTCTTGATGAAATGGATGAAGATAGTTGGGCCTAGGACACGAACCTGAAAAACTCCTGTGGTAATGTCCTGTATTTGAGAGTCATACAATCCATCACTTCAAAACATATCAAGATACAATTCAGACAATTAAAAACCTTTGAAGTGTAATATCTAGTATAATAAAGTAAAATATCATGTAATTGATATCACTAATAGACTATGGTATAATAGATTTATAATACAGAGCAACCATGATTTCAGTGAAAGGAGCAGCATAGGCTTAAGTTGTTGAACAGCCTCACCTTATTCCTGTTTCCAATTGTAATGTAAAAATCTTATCTCATCTACCTTCAACTCATGATATAAAATAATGATGTTTCAAAATGTGTACTCAATTATTTTATTTAGAACTTTTCTTCACAGCTATTAAAATCTGATACATTGAAGGGAACATATAACTGCAAGTTCTAGTTAGTAATGGCACTTATTTATGGTTATCACTGGACAATCAATGAAGTTATTGAATATAATGACAAGTGAGTTTTCACCATAAAGCAGTGAACCCAATTGTAAATGAATGGAATGACAGTAGTCAAAAGATAGATAAAGTTCTAGGACCCTGAGTAAGCAAAGATGGATCTTGACTTATACAATTGCTGTATGTCACTGATTATAAGTAGGTAAAGTGTATCTGTTAGATCAACCTGAATGTTTAGTCTGGGGTAGAAAGAAGTTAGCATACTTTCTTCTTTTGTGTTCTACTTTGCCTGTCATTTTCAGCCTGCAATGAATTGCAAAGAAACAGAGCCAGATATCCCTCCCTGTCAGTACCTCTATATTGACCAATTCCCTGCTATGCCTCCTCCTGGTGACACACAGGGACTGGGTCTCCTGCAGCCCCACCTAAAGCTTCTGAGGAAGTCGGAGAACAGTATGTCCCTAGGTGTGCAGGCCCCCATCTTGTGGACGCACACAGATACTAATGAACCAAACTCCCAAAATGGTCAATAACTCCATCTCTTGTGACCATATCCGAATAGCTGAAAGATAAGGGCATAAATATTGAAAAAATAATCAGGAGTGGAGCCCATGACTGACTGATATATAGATATATCAACTTCTTAGCAACTCCTAAAACCAAATTGATGAACAATGCATTGCTTTGTGTTCCTTCAGACCCCACCAGGGAGGTCACGAGGGGATCCCTGATGGTCGGAATAACCAGTGCTTCCATAAATTTCTCCCAGGTTTGTGCCCTGGAAAGGACTCTCCAGTCTTGCTGCAAGGAAACAGCATTTCAATGTGATATGCCCAACTTAATTGATATAGCGAACAGGTGCCAAAGGCTATCTCTGACAGGAGAAGGGACCACTATTATGTCCTATTACTCAGCACTATCTCTGACTCTTTAAGGAGCTGACCTGTTCCATCCTATCTGCTTCAAACAGCGTTTGCAGCTTACAACCACTGCTCAACAAGTAGGCAGAAATTATCGTATCAGACAAACAAAATAAAGCAAATGAAAAGAAAGTGCTAATTCTTTGACCATCAAGCTGGAATATTAGGACAATGCCCATGAGGTGCATCACGCCATGTGGTGTTTGATAATGTGTGAAAGACAGCTATGATCAGCTATAAACTTGACAAGGTGAACATGAGCATAGCTTCCCTACAATAGATGAGGCTCACTTTGGGTCACTGAATGAAAAACATTGCATGTTCATCAAGCAACAGAAGGGTTAAACGGATTTAAGTAGGAACAGTGTACGCATCATTATTAAGAAACTCATTTTGCTCAATGATAAAGTGGTCTACAAATGGTTCTGAAGATGTTCTCTCCGTAAGTCTCTCCAACAAGGCCACTTAATCTCTGCTCCACTACAGAGGCAAAAGACTAGGTCTATGAGGAGCTTAACGTGGCTGCCAACTGAATCCCTAGTCAGAATATCTTTAACCACCAAAGGATTGCACTGCAACTGTGGGCAGCGCCACAAGCCATAGCCCTTCTGTCCCAGACACCCTGACTTGGGAGGTATAAATGACAATAGACAGAGGCCATGGGGCTTTGCTGTTACCATGAGCTTTGTGTAACTAATATCTTCTTTACAACACACCCAAGATCAGGGCATAGGTATGAGCTCGATCTGATCATCAAACATGACTCTCTAAACAGTATTCTCAACATACATGTAGCTGCCACAGCACTGATGGTGATACTGTTCATTCCCTTGTGTGCACTGGGTATGAATGCTATCCTTGAGAATTTCCATTCAAAGCAGAGATACAATATTGATATCAACATAAGTCGTGCTACCTACTCTGATAAAAATAATATTTCCTTGACTCAATTCAGAAAGCACCCTCCAATATTTCCACGCAAGTTCAGAAGCAAGATGGAACATATTTTGAGGCAGCATCTATTATAACCAGACTCTCAACATACAGGAAGTATGTAGAAAAGTTCCACTGGCTTGAGGCTAATATCATGGATGCTGCCTGACTCACTATGACTTCCAACATTTTTTACCTTTAGTACAGATTCCAGCATCTGCAGTAATTTGCTCTTATGCTAACATTACTGTGTTAGTTACTCAAAGCCAATGGTTGAAGCATAACAGAATCTTTCCTGTCCATTCTTTACAGTGAAACCTTTTTCAAACAATTCCCCTGAACTTTGGCTTTGGGACAGGTTCTATCAATGAGTCCACTCTCAATTACAAAAGAGGGTTGAGCGAGAAGATTCTGAATACATTAATATCCACTCAAAGTAAAATCCAACAGATTAGTAGGCACTGCACTGATGACTATTATTCACTACTTTCCAGAAAATTCTGATGTCCTTCACCACACAGAATGCAAGAGACATGTATTAAAGATCATAAAAGCAGTAAGACAAAAAACTCCAGTAAAAGCAAAAAAGGGAGAGGTATTCACTTCTGCAATAAACAGTTGGAGAGATGGGTGGAAAACTACCTTGGGTAGTACTCCAGGGAGAGTACAATCACTAAGAAGCTCTGGCTACCATAGAAAGCAGCACTGGATATCAACCCCACAGCAAAGGAACTTAGCAGAGCTACTGGCTCACTTGCCATGGGCAAGTTCTGATGCTGTAACCTCCTGAACTGATCATGGGAATCCAAGACTCCTGCAGCATTTGCACAAATTTTTTAATCTCTGCTGAAGGAAGGGGAGCAATGTCCCGGGATATGTCTGATGCAAAGATTGTTACTCTCCCCAAGAACAGGAGCAACTACAGCATATATCAAAGCATCTCCCCGCTGAGCATTGTGGGACAAAGTGCTTGGCTGTGATATCTTTGTCAGTAATGCTTCAGAATTAGAAGATCTATAATCCACATGATCTTCCAACTCTAGAAATTGCAAGAGAAATGTTGTTAATAAAGGAATCCATTATATTTTATCTCCATTAATTCCAACAAGAAACTTAACCATGTGAGCTAGGGAAATTTATTTACCCTGCTGGAGAAAATTGCTGCCCATCACTGTTCAACCTGATCTGTTTCCATGACAACTTGATGAGTAGGTGATCCTAATAGGGCATCAACAAAACCCTTTGAGATCCGCAGCAGTGTCAAATCGAATTGGGTCTTGTTAAGCAGCATATTCTTCTCTTTGATGCTGTAATATGCCGCCAGCCATCTACAGAGGATGTTGTAAGGGTTTTTTCTCCCCTTATTTTTCTTATGTTTGATTATGACCTGAAATGGGAACAGAACTTTTAAAAATCAATGATTAGGAATCTTTGCACTTTTTAAAAGTAAGTCATGTGACTCTCATTGTAAGCACTGTATGCACAGCTGTTTGTTCAACCTGTAGTTGAAGTGTAGTTTACAGATGAGCTGGAACCAAGGTTGTGTACAAATGGAGATGCGCCTTGCAATGTGTAACTTATTGCTCCACGGACTAGTGACCTGTTATTAATAACAAACTCCCTCTGCCTGATAACACTTAAGTGGTTCTCAGGTATTTAAACAGCCTGTGGCTATAAACAAGATCATGAAAAATGATCAGATCTACACCAGCTTAGAAAATTTCTCTGTTCTCTATGGTAAGAACCATGTTAATGAAGGACACCAGTTTATTTTTCCTTCAGCAGTTGCTTTAAGCTGTGGTTTTTAATTAAAAAATCAGAGATCTTTTATAAGTGTGAA